AGAGAGAGAGAGAGAGAGAGAGAGAGAGAGAGAGAGAGAGAGAGAGAACATGAGCGAGTACTCATACACAGAGGCAAAATAAAAAGATAAATGTTTTAAAGAGGCTGAAGTAGGAGGATCTAGAGTTTAAAGTTAGCCTAGGCTATATAGGAAGTCCCTGGTGCTAATCTGAACTACAAAAGAGAAACTTATCTCAAAAGTGTGTGTATGTGTGCCCAAGTGTGTGTACATGCTCTCTGGGGATCCTAGCATATGTAAAATCGTTTTATTCCCACAATAAACATGAGAAATCAGTACTCTCAAAACTCAGGAAAAAATTAAAGCTTAACGTTTTCATTGTCTTGCCCAGTCAGCTCTAGGTGAAAGAGGGAAGGGCAGCCAGATGCTCTGGCTCCAAAACTACAGCTAAACCATGATGTGCTGCTCAGATGGGAGGAAGAGGAGCAGCTCTCTGGTCGGGGCTGTGTAGGGAGCCCCATGCTCCAAGCACAGAATGATGATAGTTTAAAGTCTGTTTTATTTTAAAATCTATATCTACATTTCTATCTATCTATCTATCTATCTATCTATCTATCTATCTATCTATCAGCTATCTGCCAGTCCTGGCCCTTTAACTGGTTTCACCCTGCCCCCCCACTAAGGGCTCATGACTCACAGTTTGAAAGTGATGATGAAGGGTGAAGGGCTAGCATGGGGAGGGCAGCCACTGTGTGTGTTTGCAGGGACAGGATACTGAAGGGAGAGCCTGGCAGGCAGGACTGAAAAGTGAGGTGGACCTATGAGAGCAGCAGGCTACATCCAGATGTACTCAGGGAAGGAGCCACTGTCATGCAAATGACATTGGTCATTCTGGATCCAGACTGCCCTGAGTAAGAAAGAATACTGGATTTGGCTCTAGCTAGCTGTATGACCATGAACCTGGCACAGTAGCAGTTTTATGCCTGTGGTTAGTGACTTCCCAGGACAGCCACAGCATCGGGAAAACATGAGGTCATAATCT